GCCGGGGTGGGGCAGGACATAAGAATTTGTGAAACAAATGGGGGCAAAATTCTATGACGGTAGAATGCGCAGTCACTTAGAAAGAATTTAGACATGAAAAGTAAAGAATGAGAGCCCCCAAATGTCAGATTCCAAAGAGGGGTGGTGTGGGAGTTTACAGCAGTTCTGGGGTACAGAGAGTCCGGCACTCACTGGGGGTCTCACAACACTGCAAATGGGCCCAATGCTCAGAACTGTTTAAAATGGCTAATGGTCGATTTTATGTTTTGTGAATTTTAACTCATTTTTTTTTTTAAAGCAACTCTGTTTCTTAGGAACAACATATAATATCGGGCACAGTAAGTCTATGTTAACTGATGTTAATACTTACATTTTTTACTGCGTCAGCATATTTCTGCTCATTGAAGAATTCATAAAATGCAGCCATGTAGGATTCCTTAAAACTCGCCTAAAACGAAACAGGTCACTTAACGAAGGCCTACAGATCCCATGGCCCAAATCTGAAAAATCTAGAGGCACAGATTTAGCTACCACAACTAGCAAGCCTCAGTTATGGTAACTAAAAAGAGGGGAGATGCTGGGTACCACTGGGTAACAGTATAGGGTATAAGTGTTACCCCAAAAGTTTACCGGGTATAAGAGACCTTAAATCACAGAATCATGCTAAAAAGGTCGGAGAAGATGAACTCCACGTAAGCTGTGTTTTTAAAGCTAACTATGTGGGGGTGGGGTCCTCGGTGAGTTCTTTGTTATGAGTGGCTCACTTCCCCTTCTGGTCACTACCACCTGTGTTCCAGGTCCACAAGTTTACACTGCACCCAAATTTGGTTGCTGGGACGGAGCCTCCTGTGAGCCGGTGGGAGGGACAGTAATCCGGGCAAAGCACAGGAACTCGGGGAAGGGCCTTAAAAACAACCATTCCTAATGCCTCATCCCCATTTAGCACTGTCTTCACATTTAGGTCACTTCACTATTTCTGGATATGAAAATGAGGCGGGTTTTGTGCAGACCTCAGGCCCGACAGGTGCCTGTTCATCGGCGCTTCCAGACAACAAAAACTGGGGTTTATTGATGGAGAAAAGCGGTCAGTGCATTGCAGCCTGCTTGTTAGCCACCACACATCTTTCATTTTACTCTGATTCAGAGAAAGCCGAGTGTTTGCCCTGAAGGGGGACTAGCTTCTCTGCAGTGATGGGACCCTGGTTCACCAATGGTTCCTTTTAGGCAGCATATGTATGGGTCTTGTTTTCTTCTCTGTTTAGCCACTTTATGTCTTTTGATTGGGTCATTTACTCTGCTTACATTAAAGTAATTATTGATAGGTATATAATTATTGCCATTTTATTATTTATATTTTTTAATCTTTTTTTTTCTTTCCTTTTTTTTCTTAAAGAAGTCTCTTTAACATTTCTTGTAATGCTGGTTTGGCGGTGATAAACTTCTTTAGCTTTTTTTTGTCTGGGAATATTGTTCCTTATCCTGATAACTGCATTAAACACACCTTCTTCTTTTGTGTTAAAAAGAGCAATCAAAATAAATGACTTACAGACTTTGACTTGGATAAGCTGCCAAGAGTTTGAATAGTCTTTGAGATAAGTGTCAGCGTCCTAGACGTCTGTGGGTCCTGTAAAACGGGAAAGAGAAACGCAAGTGTCATTTCAGTTTTACAAAAATGTTGTGACTGAGCCCAGAATTACACAGCCAACAAAATGAATGATAGCACCTAAAAGCTGCACAGCACAAGGTTGCTGTCCATGAGTAAACAATAAACATGCAAACACTAGATTCAGAAAATTTCACCTAGACCCTTGTACTCTGTGTAGTCTGGAGTAGGATCTCAGGCCACTCCAGGCCCCAAACCCCAGACCCCAGTGTTTCCACAAGGTACCAGTAGCTCCCTGAATAGCAAAGCATGAGAAGACCTGCTGGACATCGGCATTCTGGGCCCATCACACAAGCAGAGCATCTTTAATTTAACAGCATCCCTGCCTGGTTACCACTCCCAGTTCTGCATCTCCCAGGTCACCTCTCTAACCTTCACATGGTTTGGGAGTTTAGTTTAACACTAACAGAAAAACAGGAACAGGCCCATCACCCTTGAGTCCCCTTACCCTGGGCTTCCACCAAGCACTGTCCCCACCTGGCACTTTTTCTACTGATGTGTCACTAACATCAGCTCCATGAAAGCTCAGAGCGTGGCACATAGTGGGTGCTCAATAAATATTTGATGATTGATTAAACGACTGAATATGCACCAGATCATAAATACTCCATTTTTTTCCATGAGGGAAGGAGAATTTAATAGCAGCCAACAGTTAAAACCCTGGACACACCCTCCATGTCTTAATGGATACAGCTTAGGGAAGTCGCCAAACTTTCTTGTAGACCAAGTTATGGTCATGTAGCATGTTCACAACCTGATTACTATGCAATGGCTGCCTTTCCCATCTCCACATACCTCGCAAGAGACCCCGGCCCAAGCCCAGTGTCACCTGCTGATATGGGAGGACTGGCTGGTGCAGGAGGACTAGTTCACCAGTTTACAAGGGCTGATGCTCACTTACCGTGTGGTGAGGTGTGAGCTGGAAGAGGTTGGGGGACAGAATGGCGGGTGCGAAGAATCTAAGGAAAATGAAGCTGCTCACAGCCGTGTACCTCACGTCAAGGTCATCTGTGGCCGAGACACAGAGAGAGCCAACTCAGTGGAGTTTTCTGGAGAGGACAGTAGCAGACCTGGGGAGAGGGCTGTAACCCAAAGCCTCTCTCCTCCCAAACGTCTCCTGGAGGCAGAGGTACTGGCCTGAACTCTTAGACCCTACCATGTTTCTCTCTCTTTCTCTGTCTCTACCCCTCTCCATCTCTCTTTCTCTTTCCCTCTCTGTCTCTCTCCCCCAGCCCTCCCCAGCCCTCTCTCAGTTTCTCTCTCCCCCTCACTGTTTCTAAGAGCTTAGCACCATCTCACAGTTGGGCTGTAACAGACACCACCCACTCACCAGGCCCTAGTGGCATTACAGGGAGATGGCTCATTACTGGATGGTTTATTCACAGCTGGGAGGATATGGTTTGTTCATTATTTATTTACTTCCATCTTATTCCAAAGAGAGTCAGAGGCTAGGTGTACTTGGTTACCGCCCCTCTCAGACACGAGATACTCTTCGGTCCTGGAAGAGCCCAAGCTCTCTGAGAGCAAGAGGTCCTGGCTGGAATCACATGGCCCAGGCTCCATGGCTGGAGGAGGCTGAGGCACCTGGTGGGTGCTGGAAAGGGGCCAGGGCGCACTTCCGGGGCCTTCTGTCTGGGCCCCAGGGACTGCTCGGAGGGCTTGGAGGCCAAAGTTTCAGTGGTTCCCCAAGGCAGGTCGCACTTGGGCTAATTCACAGGCCTCTAGGGATGGATGGAGAAGGTTGGCGACAGTGCCTGCTGGACCAGGCCAGGGCCGGGCACCCCGTGACCCCTTCCTTAGCCTTCTAAGATCTGGTCTAAGCTGGTGTAAACCCTGCAGCCAGGTCCTCAGTTAACCTGATCATTCCAGCCAGGGCAGGACACCTATACTTTGCTTGAGAGGAGATCTGTCCGGGTGACTCCTGGTGCCTTCCTGAGGAATCAGCAAAATTAAAAAAGAGGGGGCTTATTTCTGGGACTCCTCCAATTCCAATTCCCCAAAGGGCTCATCCTGTCTTTCCTGAAAATGCAGTAAGGGAAAGTTAGATGACACGGGGCGCTGAGCAATGCCGCGATTGACCACAGTTAAGAAACCACCAGGAGAACCAGGGAAGGGTGGCTTCTCAAACTGTAGAGGCCCAAACTCAGATGAGTTAACACTGTGTCCCAAATAAACTATTGTGACAAAACTCGGCCAGCCGGCCTTGTCCAGGCCTGGGGCACTGGTTCACCCAGGGACACTTGCAGACAGGGACCGGGGAACACTGCCTTGAAGGACGCGGATGGAGGGGGATACCGTATGGGCACTCTGCACTGACATTTGAGCCCTGGACCAGCGGCTGTGTGAACCGTCTTCACAGGGACTCTGAAACATCCCTTCTTTGCTTTAAGGCGTCTGGCACAGAGGAAGGGAACCACCCAGTGAAGGGCTGTGGATATTTTTGTCGCATGAACATATCCACAGAGGACTCACCTTGGAAGCGCTTGGCAGCCGCCTCCCGAAGAGAAAAGAAAATGTCACACATGACGGTCGGGCAGCTCACCCCCGACTTGGTGATGACGTTGAAGATACGGTCGACGTACTGCCGCAGATTCTCCTGCAATGAGATGTGGGTGAGACACCCCAGCAACGCTCATTTGGACCCGATTCTCTCCCAAGGCTGCATGGAGCACCACAACCACACTGGGGAGAGAGACAGTCCAAGGCTGGGGACTGGCTCAGAGCAGCCGTAGGCAGCTGTGGCCGCAAAAGATAATACTTCCCATCATGATTAAAAGACAACCTCTCTCTCCTAAAATATGAACTGAGTAGTTATAATATTGGGTTGTCGGAAAAGTCATGACATATTTTTTTCTATGTTTTTCGTTGCAAAAATGCGTCATGACTTTTCCAACAACCCAATAATTCATATGGTGCAAATAATTGGAGTTCTGGGGTGTGGGGAAAAGCCACATTGTGTCCTCCGCCTCCACCCCTGACCTCATTAACTGAGGACAGAGGTCAAATTCATCGGACCGTAAGTCCCCAAAGGCAAGAACTCTGTCTCTTTTCTTTAAGGACATGACAAAAGACTTAGCATGCTCTGGATGAAGAAATCGTAAAAAAGACTAAAACATTAGGGTGAAGTGTCAAAATCAGTGAGTTTTGCTGTTTTAAAAAACAGGACACCATTCTGGAAGCAGTCTGGGGTGGGTCAGGCTTGGGACCTGTGTTTGTTGAGAGGACGGGAAAGAGGGAAAGATGGCCCAGGAAGACTGAGCAGGCTGGTTATCCCAGGGAGAAGGGAAGGAGCAGGAGGTGGGTGTGGCAGGCCACAGAGTGATGCTAATTCAACAGGAAAGACATCAACAGCAAAGAAAGATGGCGGCCAAACCGGCTAAAACAGTTCACCTCTCCGCCTCAGCCTCCGGTGGGTACCCTTGCAAAGCACTGCCTAGGTTGGGTCCCCACCCTGCCCCGAATCTTACAGTGACACAGAGCATCCAAGGTGGCCTGTGCCAGAAATGCTCAAGATGGGTGACTGGCTCTGGAAAGTGTTAATGAACAAACCAGAACCCCTTACCATGTTGTTTTCTAGGTTTTCACCATCTTTTAACTTCACAGGGTCAATTTCACAGGCTTTATGGCTCTGGCATATCTGTAAAGAGCATTTATGACAAGGAATGAGTGAGGTGGCTTCCAGGAGCACTGGTTGGGGTGGAGATTAGCAGTATTAGGCTCAGAGACAGACATACATCATGAGCCTTGTTCAGAAAACAGCTGCCCACAGCTAGCCCCTGCTCCGCTGCTGGAAAGAGTGCAGGGCATAGGAGCTGAAGACATTGGGCAGCATGGGAGGCCAAAGTCCCATCAGGAATAGGGCTGTCTTGAGACGGTTCTGCATTAGCTCACCTGGGATCAGGTGTCATCAAGCTTAACAATGGTTTTACTTCAAAGCACTGCCAAGATTTTGCAGAGACTCAACCAGAATGCTATTTTAAATTTGCTCACATTGCAAAGAGCCTGTTTTTTATGAAACTGTTCTGGGGGAAACGCTGCCTGCCCAGGCGTCACATTAAGGGGTCAGGTAAGAAACGCTGAGTCATTTGGAAAGGAAGTGTGTGGTTACTTCAAGTGTGTCTGACAACTAGTGAGAAATAACAGAAGGGCCTCCACAGCCGCAGGGGGCTCGAGAGATAACTCTGGGCCTCACGAATTCAGGGAGACCCAACACCTGTAGGGAAAGAGGTGTCCTATGAGGAGCAAGTGTTTCTCTTGCATGTCCTTCTGTCTTTAGAATGATGGATTTTCTTAAGTATTTTTTTTAATTTGAGAAAATGAGGAAGATTCTAGAATACACACAGAAGGTCCCCGTAATGAGGCTGGGGGAAAAAATGACATTGAAGTGATAGCTCTTTGTTCAGGTGAATCCCTGTGTGCTACATTCTCTGTGTATACGTGTGTCTTCCATGTGGAAATGTGGGCTCCTGGGGAAATTCTTCACCCTCCCAACCCCCGGCCATGCTGGGCCCTCAGGGACCCGGACCCACCTCCTCTATGGTGGGCTTCAGGGTGACGTGCAGGTAGTGCATCCCCGCCAGCTTCATCGTCTCGTCAATGCACTTGGATGTCAACGAGTTTCCTCGGAAAATGGTGTTGGGGTCCCTGGAAAATAGCATCAGGGGTGATTTTTGTCTCCTCATAGAGCAAGGTAGAGAAGGAAGCAGAACCCGTTCTTGAGTGTCCACCCCTTGGATGCAGAAACATGCTTTCCCTGAGGAGTCTGCTGTTAGGTGTTTTAGAAGGAGCACGAAACAGGCCAGATGTTTCACAGCTGGGGGTCTGGGCCCCCTGGCCCTGCCTGTGTAAAGAATCCACTGTACAAACAGCAGCCAGTACAATTCAGCAAAATGGCAGCACTCCCACTGCCATCAACCCATCAAGAGGAACAGGAGTTGACAGTGTTCTCCCTTTACTGCCACCTCATGCCTTGTCTCTTTGCGAGGCTTGTTTAGCAATGAATTAATGCTTCTAAGAACCAAACCTGGGGTAAACACAGGATATCCAGGTGTGAAAACGAACAGAACAGGCTATGCTTTATAACCTCTTTGAACAAGGGTACGTTCTGGATCTTTCTGAACTGAGAGGACCGGGGAGTGTCTCTCAGCAGAAGCCATCTCCACACTGCAAGTGCAGGTCCTGGGGTGGCGGCAACCCAGTCCTCTTATGTGGGCTTAACACTGAACTGAGCCCATTCCTGAGGCAACCTGTGCCACGTACACCCGCTTCCTGCACACACCTCGGGATTTCCAAGAAAACAGGTGCATTTTTAAGAAACAGTAAGTGACTCTCTGAAAGAAAAGCTGAACCTATATGGCTTTCTTTAGCTGCCCTATCCCTGTGCTCTGATGTTTTGAGGGAGACTTCTGCTGCCTGGGTCCCCTAGACATCCCTCCGCCCCAGCCCCATCCTGTCACCAGGCCAGACACCCTTGGGGAATGTGAGGGGGTCCCGGGCAGGGCTCGCGGTGGCACTCACTGCGTCCTCCGGACCTCGGCATTGGCGATGGCGCTGATGAAGGGCACCACCCTGCCGTAGTGCAGAAAAAGCCGCACCAGTGGGATGGCCGCCTCCTGCTTTTCTCTGCAGACCTCGCCCAGGATGTGGGCTGCAGACGCTGAAACGGGCTGCACAGAGACACAGCGTGACCCGAGGGCAGCCCCCTGACCCACAACTTAACAGCCCCCCGCCAAAAGGAAATGCAGGTGTTCCTGGGCACAAAACAGGCTCAGAGGGACCAGGCTTCCAATCGGAAGAAGGCAGCCCAGGTGCTGGGCCCCAGGTGGGCAGGGCCTGGACAGGGAGGGAAAAGGCTGACAGGTGTGGGAGGGTGGCCAGCAGAACAAGGGGGCAGCGGTGGGTCTAGGTAAAGGCAGGGCCAAGCAGGGGTCCGACTGGAGATATGGGACAGGGGCAGGGCAGCGATGTGCAGGTGGACTGCGCGGTGGGTGGGTGGTTACACCTGGCACAAGAGTACCTCCACATCTGCAGACTTCAGCAGAAGGTCCCGCAGGGGGCAGTAGTAGTCGGAAGAGAAGACATGGTCTTCTGTGTAAACCACGTTCAACCGCAGGGACCCCAGATCCCCCGGCTTCAGGCTCTTGCTGCCATTGTCTCGGGGCTGCAGGAAGTACCTGGGCACAGGACACAAGGACAAGGCAGTATGAGGAGGCAGCACCTCCCAAGGGCTGGTCCTCCATCATGGACTCTGCGTCGAGGTCTGAGGCAGAAGGGGGCCCCAAGGCGATTCTGCAGGTCACACCAGTGCAAGGCCCATGCGCCCGTGCACCACCACCACCCACTCCCTCTCCCCGGGCTATTCCCCACAGGATGTTTACTATCGGGGCTGATTATACAGAGCCGTAGACTTAGAAGTGTGGTGAGAAAGCGGGAAGGGTGGAAAGAAAGGACAGGATGAGAAAGAGGGGAAATGAGTGTAGTAGTTAGAGGAAATTCTGCAGTAAAATCATCTACCTGTGAAGATTAACACTCAACAATGGCTATCAATAAGAACAGCAAAATTGAAATTATTCTAAATAACGTGTGGTACAGCTTTTGACATTAGAGGGGATGGTGAGTAAAGCAGACCACTGGGCATAAGGTCACTTTAGTGGCGTTTTCTGACAGGCCACTCTTTTCTCTTTGGTCCTACTCAGCGTGGCCCTGGGGGAACCCTGCCTGTTCTGAGTTTATTAGCTAGGCATTTAGAGGGGCTATGTGGGTAGAGCTTGTGTCTGGCAGAAGCACCTAAATACCTGGGGTTCTGGGTGGGCTTCCATGGGGCTGCCGGGAAAATATCATATCCTTGGTTCCAAGGCCAGGGGCTACTCAGCTAAGCAATGCCTCCTGGCGGGAACCAGCACCCAGGTAGGGGCTGTGCTGGTGCTGTCCTTGAGGAATTAAAGACGTCCTGGTGATAGGAAACTGCCATTAGGCACAAAACAAAAATCTACCTACATGGTGCGTCTGTGGACATGCAGGGCTCTGTATGCAGTATGTGGCATGGTGTGTGACATGTGGCAATGTGGTGTGAGACATGTGGTGTGTGACCTTCTCCCCATTGTGTGCGTCTGTTAAAAGAGGTGCATGAAGTGAGAATGCCAGTGGCCTGAGTATCTGCAGCTTCACTGTGATGATATGCACTGTGATACAATGCGATTTATGAACTGATCATGAAATAAAACAAAGTCACGAAGTACCTTGAGAAAACAAGAAATAAAGACATGGGAGGTAGTGAAGGCTTAGGTTTCTGAGATCCATGAGTGAGGCAGAACTAGGACCTCTCAATTGAGATGGGTAGAATTAAATGGCAATTTTCCTGAAAACCACAGCACTCTGCACTCTTTTCTCATCAGGTGACACTTCTGACGACAGGCAAAGGGTATGAACACCCGGCACGGGGCAGAGCCTGGCACGGTGTTGCTCCGATATGCCAGGTGTCTGCCCTCAGCGATCAGGCCCAGAAAACTCTTCACGCCCCTGCCCGTCTGTTTTAGGCTCTCAGCCACCACTTTTCACGCTCTCAGCGTGATCACCTGCTCCAGTACCTTGTCTCCTGCTACATGTCACCTGAAATCTCATCACCACGCCAGAGCTAATTAGGACCATGAGTAGGTGGCGAGGTGGGGAGCTGACATGTGCCATTTTGCTTTGGCTGCTAAGAGGCAGCTTTGTGTCCTTTTGACTTGTTAACTCTGTCCTTCCACCCACCAGCTCAATAATGGCAGGCCAGGCACGCGGTCACCTTACCATGCTTCATAGGAGCTGGACTGCCGCAGCACTTTCAGCGGAATCCTTAGTTCTCCCAGAAACTCATCTCCAAATTTCAAGTTACTGGCGTTCCAGAGGTCAACTCTGAAAAACAACAATCAGTATATGGATCTTCTCGAAGAAAAACCTAGGGCAGGGCAGAGAGGCTTTGGAGCAGGACGGAGCCTTCAGTTCCACCACGTCAGTCTCTGTGAAGATCTCCGCTGACTAGACATTTAAAATGTGAATCAAAGCAAGGCCTGACTTTGGAATGAAGACGTGCATTGTCCCCAGGCTGCCGTGAACGAGAGGAGGTGGAGGCAGAGCCCTGTGCTGGTGTCGGAGTGAGGGGGCCTCCGGTCTCTGTAACAGGAGGGAACTGCTGCACACTGAAGACAGCAGCATCACTTCCTTTCACCAGGAGAGGCCCAAGCGTAGCAGAACCTACTGTCCCTTGAGGCTGGGGCATGTTTGAGGTAAGAGCGCCGAGTACGGCGACCTCAGTCTGCAGGGCTCAACACAACGGAGTGAAGAAATCAAGTCTAGTTCTGTCTGGGCTGCTCCAGAGACTGGTGCCCACAGGGGACTGACCAAACTGCCCAGTTTAACAACCAGGATGCCCCCTACCTTCTATCACATGAAAATACACCTGGAAAAAAAAAACTGTCGCCAACCCCCCTTCTCCACCTACACTCAGAACCCACAATCCCCGCCACCTGCCAGTGTGACTCATGACCAAGGCGGCCAGACACTCCCCACGGAGAAGGGGAGACAGTGGCTAGTTGCCAGCTGCCACCACAACACGATGTATCACCAGATTGGTGAAAAATTTCCACCCACCTTGCTGAAAAGTCTGGTCACTCACTAATTAACCCATTTTCTTTGGGTGGAATTCTCACTGTTCCCTCTGCTTTGGGGACTAACAAGCAAACATCATGACCACCCACCACAAACAACTTAACCAGAGGTTACACTGTGAGCTGAAAATCTAACACCGGCTCTCACCACACCTGATGGTCAAGGGGAAAATTCTAGAAGATTGCACCAGCCCTTTGGTTACCCCTGCAAATCTGAGCAGGAGCAGTGGAGGGCACAGAAGATAAAGGATGTGCCACAGGAACACATGCAGTCAGTACATGAAAAGACACACAGTCCCACACCATGTCACTTATATTGGATTGTCGGAAAAGTCATGACGCATATTTGCAATGAAAAACAGAAAAACTATGTCATGACTTTTCCGACAACCCAATAAAATAACAAGCAGAAGCATCTTTAATTTGCCAAGCAACGTTTTGGCAATGTAAAAACAATCCCCAGGCAGTCTTTTCTTCTTTTTTAATAAAAGAAACATTTAAAAGCACTTTAGGTTTATACACTTAGAAAAAAAAAAACCACAAAAAAAACCTAGGACTTCTCTCTTGAATTCAAAGCCCAGTCTTTTATAAAAACTTCTTTCTCTGAACAAGAAAGGGGAGCTGCATGTCTCAAGACGGCTGGTGCACAGCCAAACCTCAAACAAGGCCTTCAGACCTTCCGTGGGGATCTTACCAGACACTCGACTTGGGGTCACTTCGCCTCTGGTTCAGTATTTTGAAATGGAAGACTTAAATTAACTGGAAACACTTAAAACTATGCTCAAACCAAGATCTGTGTATGGAGGCCACAGTCCCTCAGGTCTTGAGCTCAGAAGAGGGACAAAGAAAGAGCCCCAGGGTCCCGCACTCGGGGAAGGGAAGAGCCCTGTCTGCACCCCGATGGTCAGCCCCATCCAGCCCAGAGCATCCCATGGCTTGGTCATTGCTCAGAGGCCTGGGAAGTGGCTGCAGGTACATGGGAGGGACGCTAGAGTACTCCCACCCCAAATGAACATCTGCGGTATTTCTAGTCAAACCTCACATGCCTCAGGAAACCCTGGCCCTCAGGAAAGTAGATTTTAAACCACGTCAAGTCAGACATATTTCTATGGTTCTCCTGAAGAGGGTTAGTCAGACCTAAATGTGGTCACCCTAGCCGAGGACAACAGGAAGGTAAACCTGGCTTATGATGTGTCAACCCCAGGGTATCTCGCACCCAGGGGAGGCTCTGCAGGCCAGCAGGGCTTCCTATGGCCATAGGAAGAAGGCCCCTGAGTGGACTCTAAAACTAATGCCGATGAGCTTCATGCTGCGAATGTCTGACTCTGAGCACTGAAGGCTGCATCACAAGGACCCTAAGCAGCCAGGACCCGTGTGCTAGGCTGGATGATGCCACGTGGTAGACAGAGCCTCGCACATGTTGAGTGGCAAAAAGCCTTTGACCTTTGATTCTTAGGAGATATTGCCAAGTGAACTATTATATAAAACTTAGTTTGCCCCTTGGGTAAGTAAATGTCCTTTCAGCCACAACCACCCAAATATCTGGGACGATTATGACTTACTTCAACTTCCGACATCCTTGTGTTAAAATTATCAAGGACACCGAAATTCTTACCTACCCATTCCCCTATTCTTAGAAAAAAACCCCAAAATATGGATAGGAGACATGAGTTTGGACTTCAGTCGCCATGTATAATAGGAACCGCAAAACAATGATTCTCACTCACCGTATTTCAAGTTTGTCCACGTCCTCCTCCTCAAAATCAAAGTGGGACTTTCGGCTGTAGCTGCAGGGTCTGGTCACCTGGTGGTGCAGACAGAGGGAGAGTTAGTTAAACTGACCAACTGCCCTGCGCTAATGACCCCCAGACTCAGGAGAAGAGGCCATGCATCCCACTCACGGTGGACACTGCCCCACTCACCATGAACAAGCAAAGCCTGGATTTGAGCCCAATCTCCTGGGAGCTGGGGGTGTGGGGCTGTGCCAGGCACTTTCTACTGATTTTCACGTAATCCTCCCAGCACTCCTGAGCGCCCTGAGCCTCAGTGCCTCTCTCCTCAGTCCCAGAGCTGCAGACGATGCCTTCCCCTCCTGATCCCCTCCTGACTGCTACTCCCTTGTGCCTCAAATCAGCTCCCCCTCAGCCTTCCCTGTTGCCTCCATCCTGTTGGCAGCCTGTCCAAGTATCACTCAAGCAGGGCCCCCACCAGTCATAGCGCCGCTGGCCCGAGCCTCATCAACCTTTGGTTAAAGCTTCTAAAAGCCTCCTGGGGCCCCCACTTGTTCTCCTCACCCAGCACACAGGGGTCTTTCTACAACCTGCACCACCGTGCTCCCCCCCCAGCCCCCAGCTGACCACTGGATCCCTTCCTCATTCAGGCACATGCTGGGAAGCCTACAAGCATCTCCGAAATGCCACCTCCTCCAGGAAGCCCCTGGCACCTCCTGCTGCCTGGTGTGGCTCACAGTGCCACTATTTCATAAAAGTGCCTGGCTTCCGGCGGGATGGCCACAGGGGCTGGTCTGTTTTCTTCTATGCCTTATTCCTGCCTGTCAGCTAACACATCTAGTGAGTGAATGAAAGTGGCTTTTACAGAATTTTAAATAATTTCCTTTAGGTATTTAAGGGCCTTCAGTTAAGACTAGCTGTTAACCTGGAAAAAAATGGTCTGGAGGCTACCTCCTGTTGAAACTCCCATAGGAGGCCACCTGCCAGCGCCAAGCCCACAGTCAGACCACTTGCTTCCCCTCCCAGGGGCTCAGCCTCAGGCTGTTTGCCAGCTGAGGCTGAAAGGAGATGAGGAGAACCTGACAGAGGGGATCTGCTGCTAAGCAGGGCTGAGCCCTTTGAGTCAAAGGATATAAACTCCAAACAGAAGCATATTCCAAGGTCTCAAGGGAGGCAGGCATCAGGCGGTCCTAACCAATAGCACTGAGATCCCAGGTGTAAGCCTTCCCTGGGCTCCTGCAGGTTTCTGGTCCTGACTATAATTGTACCTGGCGGGGCTGGGAGGGGGCCGGGTCATTACATTAATCTAGTGAGTTGAGTCCCACATTTTTACAGAGTGAAAGAGAAGCATACAAAATAGAAAATACGCACCACTCTGTGTGAGTGAGAACTCCGCAGGAGTGAAGGTAGCTGCTTGAGTGGCGCATGTGACGATGTAAAGCCTATACCTTACTGTGGGTTGTGTTAAAAACAAAAGTTTGGGAAGCGCTGGTCTAAGCCATTCTAGGCAGCCTAGACAGGGAAGGTTGTTGTCACCTTGAATGCACAATTCAGATGAGAAACTTTCCCACATTTGCTGTTCCGGACTCATCCCTGCCTTTGGAGACCCAGCATGAGTGCCCCTTGAGGTTAGGGGGACCGCCTCAGCTTCCTGCCTTATGTTGGGTCTCTTAAAAACCATTTTCTTCGCCTGACTATAAAGTAAGAACATCCATCTGGGACAGAAAAGCGCTCTTTTTCTACGCCCTCAGGATCCAGCTCCACACCCCTCCTCGTAGCCGCCCCAACGAGGTCGGCCCGTGGCCTCCTCCACTGAAGGACTATGTGAGCTTCCAGGCACCAGCAGGAAAAGGTCCAGGCTCTCTGCCCATGAGTCCCTTGGTTCCAGCTCATCTCTCCAACTTCATTTTCCCAAACTCCCTGTTTTCATCCCATGTTCACTCTACATTCTAGATTCAGAATTCCCTCTGGCCTCCCGATACTCCACGTATGTACACACCCCCATACCAGCCTCTGCTCAGGGTCACCATTCTGAGAAGCCTGGCCCCACTTCCCAGGCAGGAAGGGTGGCTGCCTTTGCTTTCTGTTCCCCAAAGCCACTGACTTAACAGTCACTGGACCAAATGGGACAATGTGCTCACATGTGCTCTCTTCTGCTAGGTGGCAGGCTCATGAAGACAGGAGTGGGAGCTTCAGTCATCCTTTACCTACCCATGACCTAGTGCATATTAAGCATTCAAGAAACCTTTGCAGACACAAAGAACACCTGCCTAAATACAGAGGGTGCCCCAAAAATATATACACGTTTTAAGAAAGGAAAACTGTATTAAAATTGTAAAACTCAATATATACTCATAACAAAAATGAATACAAGTCATGTTTGGCTTCTGCAATTACAGGAGGTGCTCAAAGTGGTTAACATCAGTGTCCAGACACTTCTGATTACGGCCAACTACTGCTTGAGCAATACTGACCAAAGTGTCCACTTGTATACATTTTTTTGGACACCTCCGGTATATCTCATATGAGCCATCTTAAAACTAAACCAGCCATATTTGCTTGTTGTTCTGTTCTGGTTTTCAGCCCTCATGCCTTCCATCTTACTAATTTTTGGCGGTTCACATTCTGAGAGGCAGCCCGGGGGATCTCTGGGTCCGAATGCACTTCCTCTTTTGCTTCAAAACCCTCACTATTTCCGGTGAAACAAGCCTCCCTCCACTGCTCAGAGAAGATTGGGTGGAACGGACAAAACAAAAGAAAAAAACCCAAACCAAATAAACAATTCAAAAGGCCCCCAAAGTCCTGATAATTTGGAAAGTATGAATTTGTCAGTACTCAACTCAAAACTGAGTCATCCTGGAAGCAACAGACAGCCTTTCTTTCTAGGGAGGAGGAAAGTTCAACTCGACAGGCTGCAGGGCAGGAGGGGAAATCTTTTGTGTTGGGGGGAAATCACTCAGAGAACTTTCAGAAGGAAGCAAGTGGCTGAGATCCTTCAAATCTAGACTTTCTGCCAAAGAATCTCCGGTATAGGGCTTCAACTTAACATTTATGCCACTGAAATACCAACCTCAAAATAAAACACTTCGTCAAACTGTGGGTTGTTGGTCTTCTTTTTCACTTTCGTCTTCTTTGCTTCCGATCTGTAATCAAGGAAGGAAGAATCAGGATTAAAAATAACACTTTTGATGCCAAATCGCTCAGACTTAAGACTGAGCTATCAAATGCACAAGTAATTTACTGCCTTTATTTATCTTATAAATATTTCTGTTTGTCTCCAACCCCAGATGGTATGCAAATCAGGAACCTTTACTGAGCCAAAAATACCCAGCATTAAGAACATAAAGGCTTTCTTTTTTTACAAAACAATTTTAGGGCAATAAAGGAAACTAAAGGAAGTCGAAGTTACACATTCTACCTCACAGCACATCCTGCCTTCCTCTGATTGAGGCATCCTCACCATCATTCCAGGTGACTACCACCCTCCAGGCCTGGAGGCTGGAGGCAGGTGTAGGTGATAGCTACTTGCCTGTATGGTCCTGCTAGTGTCACAGTGGCGTAAGGGTCACACTGCCCATTCACAATAGGGAGGCCTTGGCACTCGAAGATGCTGAGGAGAGAAGTGGAAGGAATGGTCAGGAGTAGGGGATGAAGGGCCCGCAGGCTATCTCTCAAGGCCACTCTGGCGTCCAAGAGGGCAGCTGTCTCAACAGCTCAGGGTCAAGAGCCATGAGTGCTGACATAGTGTTGGTCATCAAGTGCCTGGAAGCTCCCATCTAATAAAGAGTAATGGATGCACTGACTAGCAATCAGAAAACATTTGCGGGGTGGGAAAAAGTGTGCATTGCATTCAGTATAAAGGAGCCTCGGCTGAGGAGGACACGTTTTCTGGTGATTTCCATGAGCAAAGTCACTGCCTTCACTTCCTAGGAGCCAGCCACTGCTTGAGAGCTTTACACGACTCACACATTGACCTCTCCAACAAACTTACAAAGTTGTGCTTTTGTTAAGTGCATGTTATAGGTGGGTAAACTGAGGCCCTGAAAACTTCAGGGGGTTCACAGCTACAGCCTGTGCATAACCTCCATGCCACACATGCCTCTCAGCAGAAAAAGCCACCCTCCACCCCTACCCCTCCCAGGCTCAAGCTTTACTCATGCCTGATTCCACCTGCAGGGCCAAGGCCAAGTATCTGGGCTTCTGGTTCTGTTTAAATTCTGGAATATAGTTACACAAGCTCTTTGAGTGTCCTTGTTACTAATTCCATCATTTCTGTCATTCCTGGGTCTGTTTCTATCAACTGTTTCTTCTCCGGGCTATGGGTCACTGTCTCCTACTTCTGGCATGTCAGTTTGGAGGGGGTGCTGGGCATTGTGAATTTCATGGTGTTGGTGTCCAGATTCTGTTGTCACCTACAAAGTACAGAGCTGCTGGGCTTTGTGTTGGTTGGCAGTTAAGGGTCTCTTGCTTTGGGCTGATCATGGCAATTCTGGTTTGAAGCTTTGTCCACGGAGGTGCCAACAGCCTTTATCTAGGGACAGGTCAGCCCCACTGCACAGATGTGGCCTTTCTGGAGTCCATGCTGAGTATCCTGCTGATAACAGGACTCTCCACTGAGCTGGTGGGGATTCAAATGCTTCCCAGCCCCACAAAGGGAGCCCCTTTGTCCCACAGCCCCCATGCTCTGCCTTATCTATGATGCTTCACCCTCTATATTCACACTGGCTCACAGACCACTGTGAAGTCCCCTCCTCTCCAGAACGTGCCCACAGTGGCCTCAGACCCCTAACTCCAAACTCTGTCTCCTCACCTGCCTCTGGCCTCTGCTTGAGATACTTCCCTGCCCTGTATCACCAACACGCCTCCAGGACAAAAGTTAGACACTGAGGTTCACCTCATCTGCTTCCCTTAATGGGGGGGGGGGTCCAGAGCTAAGCTGCCAATTGTCCGATGTCCTAAATGGTTCACTCATACAGCGTCCAGCTCTTTAGCTGTTTGTGGTGGGAGAGGGGATCCAGTTCCCCAGGAGTGGAAGTCCCAAGCCCTGTATTTGACCATCAGTTTGGCTACATATAGATGCATAATCATTTTCCCGCCAATATCTAAGTGTGCCATTTCCTCCTTGCTGTTAAGAAGCTGGAAGACAAGTACGCTCCTTCATTGCTTCGTAAGTCAAGTGGCCCACGCTGCTTTGCCCATCTTGGGAAGCCTTTAGGTTCTACTATTTTACCAGAGTATTTCTTTCTTGGTGGGGGGTTTTGTTTCCTTCATTCCTCCTTCTTGGCGTTCGTGGCCCTTTGAACTGGTGCCACTCCTGTCCTGTGCTGGGGAGTTTTCTGTAAATTTCTTCTCTCTCCATTTCTCTACCATTTTTCTTCTGGAACTCCTGTTTGATCAGGTTGGGTCTCATGGATTGATTCATTATTTCTATTAGCCTTCTCTAATATTTATCAACTCTTTTTCTTTTTACTCCATTTCCCAGAATATGTCTGTGTTTCTCTCTCAGATGACTGACTTGGTCTTTGGTTATTTCCCTTCCTTCATTAACTCATCATTAAACAAATGTTTATTCATCCATTAACTCATTACTAAACAAACATTTGTTGAGCTCTCACATTTCAGGCACATTTCCAGGAACAGGAGTGGAGCTGTGAGAAGAGAAAAGCTCATGTCTGAAGCGCATGTCCCATGAAGCTTAGGTTTGCTTGGCTGGCACAGCAGCAAACAGTACGACAATAAATAGGTAATATGTAATTACTGTGTGCGGTAATGGAAGGGGGGAAATAAACTAGATATACCATATTTCCCCATGTATAAGATGCACCCTTTTTCAAAAAATGTGAGGTCTAAAAACTGGGTGCGTCTTATACAGTGGTTGTCGATTTCAAATGCCATAGAAGGAACTGAGGACGAGGCAACATATGAAGACAGTGATTTCATCATCAGACACAGAGAAGGATAAGCTAATTGCTGGGAGTTTTGACAGTGATGAGGAGTTGTATGAATTTTATGATGAATAAAACTTGAGTTCAATAACTTCATGTAATGCATTTTTTTTCAAATTTCGGGCCCCCAAATTAATTACACATGGGAGCGTCTTATACATGGGGGAGTAAGGTAACAACAGAAAAATGCAGGGTAGTTCGGGGCCTCTGAGAGAAAGTGGCCCCTCAGGCTGAGGTCTTAAGGGACTCCCCCTATATAAGTCGGGGCAGAGAGGGGCCCCAAAGGGCAGCAGCTCTGAGATGGGAAGCCAGAAGCAGGGGCAACAGCTTGCTCAGGAGGCATGAGGGGCAGCCCGTGCTCCCTCCCTGTGCAAATGGTACACATTTAATGTGAACACAGTTTTATTACATTCAGTTGGTGATCAGGGAGGTTTAGATGGTAGGTACATCCCCATTTTAGATCCTCAGAGTTTTCACAACCAGAAACTTATGTGGCGTCGCTAAGCATCTAACAGAAAGCAATTCTTCACACACCTCATGTCTTGAAGAAGAGCTGGTTGAGGTGGGGCAGCAGCTGCCTAGGGCACTCATTCAGTGGATGTCACTTTCACTTCCTCTCTTAAAGACCAATTCTAGTCTCTAACTCAAAACAAAGCTTGGCTCCTGATTACGGTTACATGAAGACAGCTCATAGAAAAAGAAAAATCAGTACCCTACCATCTGGCATGCAAAGTGCACAAACTGGGGGGAAAATGGTGTTAGCCTCCATCACACCCTCCTCCCGGCAGCAGGAGTCACTTCATTAGTGTCCTAACAACTTGAGCAGGATTACAGTTTAGCTGCACAGCCTGGGGTGGGTGTGGTGCTCTCAGGCTGCTTGGAGCACATAAACCCCAAAGCTCCTTTTACTTGAAAAGGTATATCTGCCATTGGTGCATCTGTCTAGGCCTAGTCTATGCAAAACAAATTTCACGAACACTTAGGAATGTTATAGGTAAGTAACAGGGGAAAATACAATATTTATTGCACTGGCCATTCTTATGGCCTGGGAAGGACGCTTTGAAATACACCAAGTGACCAAAATAATCAACTAACCTGGAATCTCAAGTACCGGAAATACAATATTTGTATGTATTTAACATTTGTAGGTTTTGATAGTCAACCTGCCTCTCAGCTAGAGTTAAGAGCTTGCAGCTGTGAAATCTTGTTTCCATTGTGTTCCTTCCCTCGACATGGGCACATACTGGCACCTCTACTTCCTGCCCCACTAGGAGGAAGCACAATGTGCCTGCTAAGCTGGTCTGGTCTGCAGGCATGAGCCAGCTGCAGACACGTCTTGGTTGTGTGGGGACCTATGCGCCACCTATGGTCACCAGCAGAGGGCCCACCTGCTGCCTGCCCAGCCCTTCACCCTCATGCTTCGCTTTGAAAGGCTTCCTGACCTTAGAAAGAGCCACAAATCAAGAGCCCGTCAGCTGTTTTTTCTTTTTCTATTTCCTTAATCATAGAAAATAAGATCTTTATTGCATTTGAGATGTTGTTGGAAGCCTGAAAATAGGCAATTTCTCGGTCGGGTGCCCCTCGAGGTGGAGCCGCTGGCAAACTGTGCTGCCTTCTCTCTGATGGCCAGCATCCTGGAGTCTGGCCGCCAGCTGAGCAGGGTCCACTGCTCCGATCAGGAGGGGCGGCTCAGTGAGCATCTGCAAGGCTGTCCACAGGACTCTTGTCGGCTTGCAAAGTGACAGAGCTTACAAGTGGGAAAGCACAAGAAACCTCACTCTCGGACAAAGCAGGTAGGTACAGGATAGCCAAGAGAAAGACTATTTACAGGGACAAGAAAGGAAGGGCTGTGAAAGGAGGTAAGCAAAGGTTGATCTCAGCTCCAGCAGTGCCAAGAATCGGCACACGTGTCATCTTCCCCCCTCGGTTTTCTGGCACAAATGTTCTAAAGGAAGAGATTCAGGGTCCAAACAAACAATCACGAGCAATCAATTCATCATTAATCTATAACAAGATTCCTGCTCAACCTGGTATAGACTCCCATGGCCCCAGTACACCTCCGGGTCACACGCGTCAAACACCTTAACTCACTCCACAAATGGCCAAGGAACCTCTACTCCGTGCACAACAGTCTGACTGACAGGCTCACGTTCTCCAAGCTTTTCTCAAGTGAAAGGCAAGGTTACGTTATGTGTTAACATGTCTCTGCCACTACAATGTACGCTCCAGAAGGCCTAGCACAGTGCCTGGCACTTAGTAATGGCTTATTAAATATTTTGGATGAATGATTAAAAGTTGTTGTGTTTATCTTTGTTGGAAAAAAAAAAAAAAAGCATGAGCTAGGACCCCTGAGTCCCACCTTGAAATCTAATTGGACAGACAAGCCATTCAGACATGAACAGATAACTGTCCAAGGTAGGGTTGGTAGATGCCAAGTGCACGTACAGACACTGAGAACATCAGGACAGTGGGTCACCAAACCACCTGGGCCTCCATCAGGCATTCAGGTCAGTAGACTGGGACATCAGCGAGAAAAACAAGACAAAAACAGATGAGCTACCATGGCCAGGAAAGCTGCATTGCGGGAGGAAAGAATGAGATTTCTGGGGGCACGTCCAGAGGGTTCTCCCTGCGCAGAACCACAGGAGGGCTCGGTGTTGATGGG